ACACACACACACACACACACACACACACACACACACACACACACACACACACACACACACACTTGCTCTTCTATCCTCATGGGGACTTTGTTTCGTCTTCCATTCACTTACCAGTCATTTATATAACCTAACCCCTTCCTCTAAAATCTAACCACCCGGGTACTTACCTAACCTTAACCTAACTCAATTCACACCTTAGTCCTAACCCCAACCTCTGACCCACCAACAGTACTTCCCCCAATGGGGACAGGATTTTTGTCCTCATGAGGAACAGTGGGGCCTCACAAGGCTATGTGTACTGGGAAAATGTCACACACAATCACACACAAAGTATACTATAAGCAAACATTAAGGTCTTCACAAGCTTTTTTTGATCTGCCTCTATTTAACTTCCAGAAATACCCAAACGGTGAAAGCAAAAACATAAAAGAAACAAAAATATAGTAAATCTTGAAGGAATTAATCTGCTGATTTTATTAGTTGTTTTTAACTAAAGTCATCTCAGTTTGAGAAATGGTGGATTTATAGCTGTTTTAGTCAAACCCTGTAAATGATACGCGAGATCTCGTGCAATATTTGGTATCAACATTTATGACAAAGTCTTGTGTTGAAGACGATAGTCAGCTAATACCAGCACAAAGTTTAGCTGAATATCTGAAAAACCTGCTGGGTTACAGTTATCTCTAAGTCTGCTTACATCAGTTGGCTGAGCATAATGTTATTAAAATCTGTCCAGTTGTTCAGGAAATATTCAGTCAAAATGACAAGCATACACAAGTACACACAGAGACATGGCTTAAAACATTTTTGCCCATTTGCCTTTGGCGACAGGTGATAATAAAAAAGGGAATTTTATAACACAAGAATCTTGGGCCCTGGAAAAATGTTTGAAAATGTAGATGCTGATTCACTGAAAAATACTGTATGGTATGCTCTTCCAACAAGAAAATAATTAAAAGATGAATTTCTGCTAAATGTCTATAAAAAGTTATACATATCACACTTCTTGATTTAAGAACTTGTAGTTTTAAAGAAGTTAGCACTAACTGAGGCAATGAACTGAACAGTCTTCCAGCACGATGTTTCAAAAGCTTCTTCAGATGTTTTCCAAATCAGATCAAATCTACTTTCCTCTTTGAGTAATCATCTTAAATTTAAAGCAATTTTCAAAAAATATGCCAAGGTATCAAGTGGAAAATCCCCCTCTGGATATCTGAGATGTGAACACTCCCTGCTGAGGTTTAAACAATAAGACCCTGAAGAGAGGCTAACTATCATCCAGTGACTTTAAAATTATTCTACTTTGATCCAAACTATGTGCTGAGTGAGGGGTGATTTCTCTGAGTGGGGAAGTTGTGAATGTGGACAGAAAAGGAGAGGGGCTAAAAAGAGTAATTATTTATATCTCACAACACTGATGCTGGGTGCATGCAGAGATACACATGAAGTCTGGAGCCTGAGAAACAAAGCAGATACAGGACTTAGACAATGAAACTGAAACACCTGTCATTTTAGTGTGCGAGCTTTCATGGCTAAATTGGACCAGCCTGGTGGCCAATCTTCATTAATTGCACATTGCACCAGTAAGAGCAGAGTGTGAAGGTTCGATTAGCAGGGTAAGAGCACAGTTTTGCTCAATATATTGCAATGCACACAACATTATGGGTGACATACCAGAGTTCAAAAGAGGACAAATTATTTTTGCACGTCTTGTTGGTGCATCTGTGACCAAGACAGCAAGTCTTTGTGATGTATCAAGAGCCACAGTATCCAAGGTAATGTCAGCATACCACCAAGAAGGACCAACCACATCCAACAGGATTAACTGTGGACATAAGAGGAAGCTGTCTGAAAGGGATGTTATGGTCTAAAACCAGGTGTTTCAGTTTCATTGTCTAAGCCCTGTATATACAGAATGGTAAATACAGAAACGTTATATTGGACTCAGGATGAGATTAGTTTAGGTACATGTTAAAAAGGGTAACACAAACACCAACCTGCTGCTAACTGTCATAGTGCTGTTTGCACAAGCACACACAAAAAAAAACTATTGACAGGTACTCATCAATTTCACACCACCATGGTGGGGTGGGGGTCGAAGGGTTATCCCAAAACCTCCCCTCTAAAGGTCCCAGCATGATCGATCGGCAGCCAACCAGTCGATGAGTTGTCACGTAATGGATGACTTTTGGTTCATTTTCACACACACTTTTCATTGTGCAACAAGACACACCACAGCACAAAGCTAGTGGGAAACACCTGTTGCTATTTCACACGTCACAGCATGGGTTTCTTCTCGCTGACGTCTCCACTTCAATATCTGCTGTAACTCTGGCCACAACATGTCACAGTTAAAGTGCCACACCTTCAGCAGGTGGATTGTTCCATGCACAACATCTGTGTTCTCTCCAGCCATGAGTTTTTGGTCATTTGACTATCTTACTAAGTGTCTGCTTGCAGATACAGCAGTTGGATTTCTAAAGTAAGGTAGTTGAAGCAAAATGATGCCATTGCTGTCTGAGCGCTTTCGACATTATATAATAATATTAACAATAATTTTGTATGCCGAGGGGGGTGAAAAGTATAGCCCAGGCCTTGTGACAAGGGCTATACTTTTGTGACACAGCTACATCAATGAAAGCGGATGTCGTAGTTTTGGATGGACCATGTTGAGGCCTTGAGATCTGGAATCAGAAACCTTTGGTTTCAAAGAGAATAATTTTATTTTATTTACTGTTTTTTAACTAGGCAAATCCCATCACAGATCTCTTTTGCAAGGGTGACCTGGGCCTGAAGGCAACCTACTGTACATATTTTTGTGCTGTGGGGGAAACTGAAGTGTGGAGAAAACCCACACAAGCACGAGAAAAACATGCAAACTCTGCACAGAAAGATCCCAGGTCCAAACCAGGACCTTTTTGCTGTGAGACATCGGTGCTAACCACTGAGCCGTCACTGCCCAATAAGCTGTTTTCATGTACAGGAACAGCCAAATGGCAGCAGAAAAGCTATGGTTTCATCCAAAATCTGAGTCATGTAAGCGAGGCCTAACTAATAGGTGTTCATCAACTTTTCATTGATACTAGGGGTGTAAGAAAATATCGATACACTGAAATATCGCGATATTTCATTTCCCCGATACTGTATCGATATTCTAAAGCCCTGTATCGATTTTT